GCAGGGAGCCTGATGCGGGACTCGATCCCGGGACTCCAGGATCATGACCTGAGCCGAAGGCAGTCGCTTAACCGACTGAGCCACCCAGGTGCCCTCGGGGAGTGTTTTCAAAGCAGGCCTTCCGGCGGCTCCAGAAGGGGTCTCGTGTGCGTGAGGCCGTCCATCACGGGCACCGCGAGATGCTAGTGAGCTAGATAGAAAGTTCTGAGTGTGAACATCTTTTCCTTCAATCTTCTCAGGACGACCTCCGGAGACTTCACCTTCACCGTCACTGTTAAAAATGCTGGTATTGGTAGGATGCTTGTCTTTCAAGGTCTTTCATCCGCCTTTTTTCTTTGGAAGCTTTTTGGATCTTTCTCTTCATTTTCAGTGTCCTTAAATTTCCTCGTAACTGTACCAGCCGTGTTTTCTCCGTCTCTTTCTTGGCACTCAGCAGGCCCTTTTGGTCTTTCCCAAATTCCAGGAAAATTGGGAGTCTTATTTCTTCAGCTGTTTCCAAACTCCAGTTATATTTTCTGCGCTTCTGGGGTCCAGTAACGAGGATGCTGACACACGCGTGCCGTGCGTCTGGTCTCCCCACCTGAGCCGTGAAAGCTGCCCCTGGCTTCATCCCCCGCCTGCTGCCCGGGGTGCCCGCCACTCACGTGCACCTCCGCCTGCCTGGCGAGTTGTTACCGCTTTCTGTGCGGGGGGTCTCCACTCTCCCCTCCTTTTCCCAAGCTCCGGGCCCCTAGGCCCTTGGGAGCGTGCGGCACGCTTGACCTGCTTGACATCGCGTCCTCTGGGACACGCCGCTCAGCCTGTTTCCTTCCTTCCTGGCAGGTCGCAGTTCTCAAGGTGTGAGTGCACTCAGCCTGCAGGCCCTCAGCGGGGAGAGTGCTCAGTGCAGGCCCTCGGCCCCCACAGCGAGTGTGGGGAGGGGGCGACTCCCACGGGGTGCCGTGCCTGTGGTGACCTCATCCACACCCTGTGCCGCCCTGGGACCCTGGCTTGCACGGGGCGGGGGGCTGTGCGCCCCACAGAGGGGCCAGCAGGGGTCAGGGAGGGCCCTGATAGTGTTGAAGAATCTGCTTTCACCCTGTTCTGAGGACTTGGGGATGGACGCTGGCCTGCAGAGGTCAGCGGCCCGGTGGCCTCGTCTTTGGTGTTGGGAGACGCCAGCGTGGTGGGCTCATCTGGCTGGCGGCCGGGCAGGTGCCGCGTGGAGCCATGGGATGGAGCACGATGCCCCCGCGGGTTGGTCTGGGCTCGTGGGAACGGTGGCTGGGAACAACAGCACATCTGTGTTCCAGGGCTGGAGAAAGACCCAGCTGCACTGGGCTTGCAGGCGAGGAAGATGGCGAGGAGGGATGAGGAGGCACGTGACCCCACCTCTGCTGCTGCCCAGCTGCATCAGCTGCATGGACGCTTGCCCCCTCCCCCGAGCCCCAGGTGACTTCCAGATGCCCTGCCTCTGCCCAGGGCGTTGACCTGCCTCCTCAAGCTGCCGAGTCCCCTCTGGCTGTGCGGGGGCAGCCCTGGGTGCGCCCCGGGCCGGGAGAGCACCTGCCACTATCTGTGCCTAGGGCAGGGCTTGCACGGGATGGGGGCCCCTCAGAGAGCTGGCATGTCAGCCAGGGCACGGGGGCGGATGTCAGGGCATCCCCAGGCCCAGGATGAAGACCAGAGATCCGAGACCGGCTCCCTGCAGACCGCTGGGGCTTGGTGCTGGGCTTCTCACGGGTCCCAGAGGCTGCCCTGGAGCCCGGGCCCAAGGTGGCAGAGGTCACTGCTCCAGTGTGTTGACCCAGGGGCTCTGTGTCTGCTCGGGGAGGGAGGACGACGAGGGGGGAGGCAGGTGGCTATGGCCGGCTCTTGCGTGCACAGTCAGGGTGTCCTGTTTGTGGCCTCGCCAGGGCACCTGTGGGACCGGACGAGGCTGGGAAGCTGGCAGCGGAGTGGGCCCGGGCGCCTGTCGTGCCCTTCGGGGTGGACCTGTGTTACTGGGGCCAGGAGCAGCCGATGGCGGGGAGGATCCTCAAGTGAGTGTGGGTGTGTCTGGTCCTGCCTTTCCCCGGCCGGCGAGCACACCACCGGGCCCAGGGCCTGGCTCTGCCTTACGGTCCCTGCAGGGGCGATCACCACACGCAGGCTCTACTGGGACCATAGAACTGCGGCCGGGGGGGCGGGGGGGGCCTGGACTTTTTCTGAACCTTCCTGTGGCTCCCTGGGGAGACGTCCTGCACCGTCTTCCTACACAGTCTGGCATCGTGAGGTGTGAAGGGTGGCTGCCTGGGCCGAGGCCCTTCCTGATCCGTCCTCGCCCCTCCGGTGCAGACTCAGACCTCCACACAGGCCAGGCCTGGGGTCTGCAAGGACTTTCTGGGGAGCTGTCCCCTCGCAGTGCTTGCGACGCTCTCTGTGGGGCCGCAGACGAGAAGGGGGCACAGGTGCATCCCCCAGGCGAGCCCCCGCCCCCCAGCGCTGCCTGTCCTGCCAGGCTGTGGGCAGCCATGGAGGCTGTGGACAGGGGACGACTCGAGGTTTGGCTTGTGGCGCCTGTGGTGGGGTCCAGGAGTCTCTGTGACCTGCTCTCCTCGGGCTGCCTGGCCTGGAGCCACACTGTCGGCAGCATCCCTGGGCGGCTGTTGCAGGCGTGACTCTGAGCACCGCTTCTGGAAGCCCAGCGAGGTGGACGCGGAAGTGGACAGCGCCAGCGTCCCAGAGATGCCGTGGAACCGCTGCATCACCTTCGCGGGCAAGTTCGAGCCCGTGCGGCACCAGTGCCGCGCCCCGAGGCCCGACGGCCGGCTCTGCGAGCGCCAGGACCGGCTGAAGGTGAGGCGGCGGCCGGGGCCGGGACGGATGCCGCAGGGCTCCGCTGGGCCAGGACAGGGCGGCCAGATGGAGTGCTGGGCTCCAGCCGGCCGGTGCGAAGCCCGCCGTGGCCTTCAGCTGGGCCCCCTTCCCAGGGAGGGCTTGTCCGTGGCTGGCGGGCCTCGTGCCGGCGTCGGGAGTCTGACATCCAGGACCCGGGGGGCTCTGCACTGGTTCCCGCGTCCCTGCTCTCCACGGCACCTCCTGAGCCCAAGATGCACTGAGTGCTGGGCGGCCAGTGTGAAGGGAGGTGGCTTTGGCCAGGCCGATGGAGGCCCCAGCCTCCCTGCTGCCAGAACGGCTCTCCTCTTTGTCACAGTGCCCTTTCCATGGGAAGATCATCCCCAGAGACGAGGCGGGCCGGCCCCTCCACCCGGAGGATAGGGCCTGGGAACAGAGGCAGCAGCTGCGGAGACAGGCAGGGCGTGCAGGTAAGTCTGGGGGCTGGAGCAAACGGTGGACACTGTGTGGGGGGACGGCCTGGGACCCTGGCAGCCACCTGCCGCCTCCAGCATGGTCGTAACTCAAAGCGGTGCCGCAGGGGACACGGGCTTCTAGTTGGGCCACGTGTTCTTGTTGCTGCCACTGGGGGACACGGAATCATGGCCAGAAACCACCAGCATGTTGTTTGGTGGTTCGGGTTCTGGGTTTTGAGTCACGTTTTTAAGGAAACGGGGGAATGGAGGTAAGAAAAGTTATTGGCTGAAGCCCGTCCTCCAGAGAGGAGAGCAGCACGTTCACACCAGGTGGACACTTGCCCCGTTGCCTGGCCCACATCCTCTGCTCTGCAGCCCAGCAGGTTCCGGGCACGTGTGCGTGTGGGCTGTGTGCGTGTCCGGGCGGATGCGAGGAGGTGCCAGGCAGGCCCTGAGCCCCAAGGCTCGGGAGCCAGGTCTCCAGAGGCTGGCCCAGGGTTCTAGCTCGCAGGCTAGCTTCAGGCCTTGAGCCATGTAAGCATCGTTCGCAGGACAACTTGGGGAGCTTGTCTCAACACAGTATGTGTGTCGGCGCCTCATGCTGGGCACGTGCCACATGCTGGCCACCACGTGACTCCCAAGGATCCCTGAACAGCAGGGCCACGGGGTGTCCCCCAGAAGGGGCCGTCACTGGGCAGCACGCGGGCACGCTCAGAACGGGGGGGCACCCACCAGATCCCTGATCTGTCTCAGTGTCTCTGTGGTTTGTCAAGCCTGGGCTAGGGTCTGGAGGTCCTGGCTGCCTGGGGCTCTCGCTGTCCCAAGAAAGCCACATCGCCGACCCAGAGCCCCGATGAAGGGAAGGCGGACGTGTGCGTGGGGGCAGCGCTGGCCTGCACGTGAGGGTCCCAGCCAGGCCGTGTTTGTCGTCATTAGTGGGGTTTTTCCCTTTGACAGATGGGAGATTTCAGGCTGACACTGTGTCTGAGCCCCCTGGGCCATGGACGGTGGCAAGGAGGGGCCCCTGACCTGCTAATCCGCGGGGCGAGGCCTTCCCTGGTGGCTCACACTCAGGAGCAAATTAAGTGCGTATTTTTTGTGTCAGCCCTGAAGAGTATCTGGTTCTCCAGCCCTCGGTGACTTGTTAACAACAGGTACCGGGCTGTGGCCGCGGGCCGGCGCTGGCCAGTCAGATGTGAAATAGCATCTCTTTACTAACTACACTATTGATCCCCGCCTCCCTCGCACGCGGGCAATTTTCTTTTCCCTGCTGCTAACCTTGGTGACAATGCACGCCGAGCTCCAGGGCCCGCCAGCGCACAGGAAGGCCGCGCGGCCCCGGCGTCTATTGATTTTCTTCGAAGGCTTTTAAATTGTTCCTTCATTTTACTGAGATGCTCATTCCATCTCTACCGGGCGCCAGTATTTTTCCGTGGTGTTTAAACAATTGCTCCATTCACTGGGCTCCTAAACTGTGGCGCCTTCTTATTACAGGAGATAAACTGTTGAGACAGTTTTCCTTAATCTCAGATTAATCGTTCCTGGATCTGAATTGTGCAGCCCTGTACTCCTTCACCTCATAACATCAACTTGGGGAGGCCTAGCCATCTGTCTGTCTGGGGCGCACATTCCGTGGGTTTCCCGCGGGCGTGGGGGCGCCATCGGAGTGTGGGGCGCCTGGCACCCTTCCGTGAGCCAGGCTTGGTGTCCGCAAGTCTGGGCACATGAGGGGGGCTGTGCTGTCGCATCCCTGACCGGGATGGCCTTCTGGAGGCGGCCAGGCTGGACGGCGCCCTGGCTCACGGAGCCCACCCCCACCTTTCAGAGGCCAAGCAGCGCCCCCTGGGGCCAGGATGGGAAGGAGCAGCCAGGGCAGTAGCAGGGCCTTGGGCACCCTGGGCGTTAGACAGTGGAAGCTTCCCTGAGCCCCGGCCGATGAGCACACTGGCGAGGCCGGGCTCTGTGGGACCTGGCGCACCGTCTCCTGCCGCCTTGCCTGGCCTGGGCCGTGGCAGACCACACGTGGCAAGAAGAGCAGAGCTGTCCAGGTGAACTGACCCCCTCGTTGCTGAAGCCTGTTGCCAAGTCCTCTTTGGACCAGTAAAAAAGCTCGACCTGTCCTGACCCCTTGGCCCTGGCCGCCCCTGGTGCACACAAACACCAGTCAGCAGATGGGTCTGGCCACCGTAATTGGGGGCCTGCTGGGGCCCAGTCCAGCTGGAGGCAGGGAAGTAGCCTGCCGCGGGCACCCGTCTCAGCTGCCTTCCTGCCCCGGGGGTCAGTGGATGCACCAGATGAGGCCTCTGGGTCCTGTCCCGGGACCCCTGTGGGTCCCGGGACAGGGGTGGGGAGCTCTGCCTTGCCGTCTGCCCCCTTTGTCGCTGGCCGGCAGTGGGCAAGCTGAGCCGACCCTTGAGGCAAGGAGGGGTCAGGGCTCGAGTGAGAGGCTCTCTGGTCAGTGACAGAAGTGTCTTGAAATCTCGGGGTCTTTTTGCAGGTTGGCAGGACCCCGAGTTTATGAGAGATGTGGAGGCTGCCACGGGAGTGGACCTTGGCTCGTCTAGGTCCAGCGGGAGAGGCAAGGGCAAGCGGAGGAAGCACCCTGGCCTCACCGACCTGAAGCAGCAGGCCGACACTGCCCGCGCACGCATCGCCAAGAAGGTGTTTGCTAAGTAAGAGCTCCTTGCGGCATGCCTGCCCCCACCCCCCTGGATTTGGGGATGCAGGAGGCGGGCTGACTGAGCTCCAAGACACTGTCAAGGCCTGGGGCCCCTAGCTCCTCTCTACTACACATTTCTCCCTGTGACCACCAGGCCCCCCGGGCGGGATGGGCGCTCCTAGCCAGCAGGGCCATGGGTGGGCCATTCAGGAGCAGAGCCTGGAGCTGGTCACCCCGAAGGGATGGATGAGCTGCTTCTCTAGCGGAGGGGCTTCACTGACCAGCCAGCACATCCTCATTTCCTGGTGGGGGGGTGAGGTCTCCATGGGGGCTGCTGGTACGGAGCCAGCTCCATGGCCCTCCCTTGCCCAGCTGACCCAAAAGGGCTCTCGTAGTCAGTGCCCAGCGGTGTCCACCTGGTAACAGCCAGCAGGGGAGTACCTTCCAAGGCTGGTGGGGTGGGGTGGGAGGCACCACACAGGTCTCCGCTCCAGCAGAGCGTGGCCAGTGCTGCCGGGGAGGTGGGTAAGGGACGGGGCATCTCCACAGCCCAGCTGGATGTGCCTGGCGGTTGGGAATTCGGCAGGGCCAGGGCAGGAAGGCCGCCAGCCAGCACTCTCACTGCCTGCCTGCCACTGGGGCTGGCCAGACAAAGGCATTTGGGGTGCTTGTATAGGAAGCCCCGTGAGGCCATGGCCTCCCTGGTTGAATTTATGCTCAGGTTGTGGGTGCCATCAGGCCGTCCTCGTGGGCCAGGCTTCTCAAGCAGACGCCTGGAAGGCGTTCAGCTCCGTGTGGCGGGTGAAGGAGGCTTTTCCTGTCCTCCTGGCCAGCGTCACCATGTGCTTGGCCTGAGTGGGGTCGCACAGGAGGGCGGCTTCCTCAGTGCCCGCATGGAGCCCCCATGAGCTTGTCCTGTTGGAGGGCCACAGGTGACCGAGCCCCGGGGTTGCACCCGGCGGTCACACGGGCACTTGGGGGCAGCGGAGCATCCCTGCTTGGCGGCCTCGGAGGCTTCCTGCTGGGTACGGAGTCCTGCTGAGTCCAGGCCCTCGGTGGCACAGCACCCAGGCCAGGCAGCGAGACGCACTTGATAGCCCGTCTGTGTGTTTTTGCTGCAGGACTGCAGTGCTGCCCCGTGGCTCTGTCCTGGGGCGCTGTGCACGTGCCTGGGCAAGCTGGGCAGGGTCTGCATCTGACGCTGCCTTGTTGAATCTGCCCTGAAGCTGCTCCCCACCAGCCTGCTGGGCAGGCTCTGCCTTCATTCTGGGTGCAGCCTGGTGCTGGCGAGATTAGGGATCCTGGGAGCTGCCTTCAGGGCTCAGGGAACCCACAGGGTTAGTGTCACAGTTGCTTTTATTTCTGAGCTGTGTCGCCCATCTGCAGGGAGTCAGTGGTCTGCGTGTGGCAGCCGCCGGGGACCAGGACCTGACCCCAGCCAGACCACGGTCGGAGCCCGGAGACCTGGCCGGGCTTCCCTGATCGTGTCTTGCTTCGCTTTCCCCACAGAGCCGCTGTGCAGAGGGTGGTCACAGCCATGAATCAGATGGACCGGAAGAAGCACGAGAAGTTTGCAAACCAGTTTAACTATGCACTGACTTAGAGGGCCAGACTGGGTGTGTGTGGTCCCCTCTGGTCGTCTGCTCTTCTCCCTCGGCCAGGGCACCAGGATCGGAGCGCAGACACAGGACTGGGCTGTAACCACAGCCACTGTTGTTATGTGTGTTTCGTGTGAGGAAAGAGTGTGTATTCTAGTCACAGTTCCCCAGAGGTATGGACTCCCCCTGCCCTGGGGAGCCACAGCCATCCGGGTTATGGGTCTGGCCCGCCCGAGAGCCTGGAGGTGACGTGGGCAGCGTGGCTCAGTGGGGCATCTGGCAAAGCCTGTCCCCATGTCACCCCAAGCCCCACTTCCCAGCCTTTTCCCTGGGCAGTAGGAGGGACTCGGGGGGACTCTAGGAACCCTCATGCTTCTATGTAAACACTGTTTCTAAGACAAGCTGGGAAGTAAACCGTTCAGCGTCGCACCTTGCGTTTCCAGCTCACAGGGCGTTTTGGTGATGGTTCTGCATTAGAATGTCAACAACTACTTCTCTACTTCTTTGTTTTTCAAAAATAGCTTTATACTTCCACACCCTAGAATTCACCCTTTCAAAGTATACCACGTAGCGTGGCATGAGGTATGTTGTACAACCTGGACCACCTGTTTGCAGAACTTTCCATCACTCCAGAAGAAAGCCTGTCCCTGTTAGCGGTCACTCCCCTACTCCTTCCTCCAGCCCCTGGCCCTTTCTGGATGGACGGCATCCTGGCAACGCGTGGCCTTTCGCATCTGGTTCGTCCACTTAGCACAGTGTCTCCCGGGTTCTTCCATGTTGTGGAATGCGTCAGAGCCCTGTGCCCTTTTACTGCCCACTGATGACACCACAGTGTGGGCACAGCACGCTGTTCATCTGTTTATCACTGGCATCTGGGTTGTTCTCACACTGGCCGTGATGAGTAATGGTTCTGTGAACGTGTGTGCAAGTCTTGTGTGGACATGGATTTTCATTTCTTTTAGGTTTACGCCTAGAAGTGGAATCGCTAGCTCACTTGGCAACTCTGTGTTTAACTTGTTGATGAACCGCCAGACTGTTCCCCAGCAGCTGCACCATTTGACTTACCTTCACAGTGCGTGAGGGTTCCAGTTTCTCTGTGTTTTTGCCAATACGTTATCTGTGTTTCATCTTAGCCATCTTGGTATGAAATGGTATCTTTTATTTTTTTTTAAGATGTTATTTATTTGAGAGGGAGAACATGAGAGAGGGGAGGGGCAGAGGCAGGGGGAGAAGCAGGCTTCCCGCGGAGCAGGGAGCCCGATGCGGGGTTTGACCCCAGGACCCTGGGACCATGACCTGAGCCGAAGGCAGATGCTTAACCAGCTGAGCCACCCAGGTGCCCCTGAGGTGGTATCTTGATTTGCATTTTAATTTGTATTTTCCTAATGACTACTGATACTATCTTTTCATGTGTTTATTGGCCATTTGTGTATTTTTTTGGAGAAATATCTATTCAGATCCTTTGCCCATTTTCAATTGCATTGTTTGAGTTAGAATTCTTTATATATTCTAGGGGCGTCTGGGTGGCTCAGTTGGTTAAATATCTGCCTTCGGCTCAGGTCGTGGTCCCGGAGTCCTGGGATTGAGCCCCGCATTGGGCTCCTTGCTAAGCGGGGAGCCTGCTTCTCCTTCTCCCTCTGCTGCTCCCCCTGCTTGTGCACTCTCTCTCTTTCTCTCTCTCAAATAAATAAACAAAACCTTAAAAAAAAAAAAAAGAATTCTTTATATATTCTAGACCTTTATATTGTTTGCAAATATTTTATCCCATTCTCTTTTCACTTTCTCGATGGTGCCCTTTGAAGCACTAAGTTGTTAATTTTAATGACATCCAGTATCTGTTTTTTCTTTTGTTTCATGTGCTTCTGGTGTCCTGAGCACCTGGCCTGATCCAAGATTATGATTTACTCCTACATTTTCTTCTAAGAGTTTTATAGTTTTAGCTCTTACATTTAGGTCTTTGATCCATTTTGAGTTAATTTTTGTATATGGTGTGAGGTAGGGATCCAACTTCATTCTTTTGTGTGTGGATTCCAGTTGTCCCAGCACCATGTGTTGAAAAGATTATTCTTTCCCCCACTGAATTATCTTGACACCTTTGCTGATCATCCGTTGGCCATAAATGTAAGAGTTTATTTCTGGATTGTCCGTTCCTTTCCACTGACCTATATATATCCTTATGCCAATGCTGCAGTGTCTTGGTTAATCTTGCTTTGGGGTAAGTTTTGAACCCTGAAAGTAAGTCCTCCAACTTTGTTCTTTTTCAAGATTATCTTGGCTATTCTGGGTCCCTTGCATTTCCAAATGAATTTTAGGATCAGCTTGTTAATTTCTACCAAAAAAGGGCAGCTGAGATTTTGATAGAGATTTTGTTGAATCTGGGGATCACTTTGGAAAGTATTGTCATCTTCATGTTAAGTTTTATGATTCATGAACTTGGGATATTCTTATTATTTGGCTGTTCTTTAGCTTATTTCAACAGTTTTTTGTTGTTTTCAGTGTACGAGTTATGCACTTATTTTGTTAAATTTATTCTTAAATATTTTATTCTTTTTGATGCTATTGTAAATGTAATTGTTTTCTGAATTTCATTTTTGGATTGTTCATTGTTAATGTATAGAAATACAACTGATTTTTGTATGTTGGTCTTGTAGCCTGAAACTGTGCTGAGCTCGGTTAGTTCTAATTGTGTGTGTGTGTGTAGATTCCTTGGGATTTTCTCTATGCACAATCATGTCATCTGCAAATAGAATGCTTCCTTTACAATTTGGATGCCTTTCTTTCTTTTGCCTAATTGCCTTGGCAAATTAGGAACCTCCAGTACAAAGTCGAATAGCAGTGGTGAGAGCAGACATCTTCATCTTGTTCCTGGTTTGGGGGAGAAAGCTTTCAGTCTTTCACCATTGAGAATGGTGTTGGCTGTGGGTTTTTGTAGATGCATTTTGCCAGGCTGAGAAAGTTCCCTTCTAATTCTAGTTTGTTGAGTGTTTTTGTCTTGATGTTGAATTCTGTGAGATGTCTTTTTATATCTATTAAAATGGTCGTGTGGTTTTTGTTCTTTATTCTGTTGCTGTGGTATACTACATGAATTGTTTTTCATATGCTGAACCACCCTTGCATTCATGGGATAAATCCCACTTTGGTCTGATATATAATTCTTTTTATGTTATTGCACTTGGTTTGCTAATATTATGCGATTCCAATGACCTGGTTTGCTAGTATTTCGTTAAGGAATTTTGTGTCTGCTCATAAGAGATTTTACCATACACTTTTCTTCTTATGATGTCCTTGTCTGGCTTTGGTATCAGAGTAGTGCTGGCCTCATAGATTGAGTTGGGCAATGTTCCTTCCTTGTCTGTTTTTTGGAAGAATTTATGAAGGATTTGTGTTAATCCTTTAAACATTTGGTGGAATTCACCAGTGAAGTCATTTGGTCCTGGGCTTTTCCTTGTGAGAAGTCTTTTTTTTGTTTGTTTTTTGTTTTTTTTTTTAATTTATCATCTTGGGTGCCTGGGTGGCTCAGTCGGTTAAGCGTCTGCCTTTGGATCAGATCATGATCCCAAGGTTCTGGGATCGAGTCCCAAATGCTCCCTGCTCAGTGGGAATTCTTCTCCCTCTCCCTCTCCCACTCCTTCTGCTAGTGCTCTCTCTCCCTCTCTTTCCCTGACAAATGAATAAACAAAATCTTTTTAAAAAATTAATTTATTATCTTTATTTATTGTAGATCTGTTTAGATTTCCTGTTCTTCCTTGAATCAGTCTTAGTAGTTTCTGTATTTTTAGGAATTTGTCTGTTTCATGTAGGTTTTTGGTTGTAATTTGTTGACATACAGTTGTTTATAGTATTCCTTTGTAATTCTTTTTATTTCTTTAAGGTTGCTGGCAATGCCTCTTCTTTCATTCCGGGATTTTAGAAATCTGAGTGTTTTCTCACTTTTTAAAATTTGCTTGGCCAGTCTGACTAAAGGCTTATCAATTTTATTGATTTATTCAAAACCCAACTTCTGGTTTTGTTGATTTTTCTCTCGTTTTTTTTTTTCATTTTTTGTTTTGTTAATTTCCGCTCTGATCTTTATTATTTACTTTGGGTTGCTTTGGGTTTAGTTTTCTCTCTTTCTAGTTTCTTAAGATAGAAGATTAGCTTACTGATTTGAGGTCTAGCTTCTTTTTCAGGTAGGTGTTTACAACTCTTAAGTTTTCATCTAAGCACTGCTTTAGCTTCATTGTGTAAGTTTTGGTATGTTGTGTTTCATCTTTATCTCCCAAGTATTTTCTCATTTCTCTTGAATTTCTTTTACCCATTGATTATTCAGGAGTTGGTTTAATTTCCACATATTTGTTAATTTCCCAAATTTTCTTTTGTTATTTGATTTCTAATTTCATTCCATGTGGCCAAAGAATACATTGTGTATGATTTCAGTCCTTTGAAATTTAAGACTTATTTTATTTTATTTATTTTATTTTATTTTTTTTAAAGATTTATTTATTTGAGAGAGAGGATGAGAGGAGAGAGCACATGAGAGGGGGGAGGGTCAGAGGGAGAAGCAGACTCCCCGCCGAGCAGGGAGCCCGATGCGGGACTCGATCCCGGGACTCCAGGATCATGACCTGAGCCGAAGGCAGTCGCTTAACCGACTGAGCCACCCAGGCGCCCCTAAGACTTATTTTAAATGTGTATCCTGGAGAATGTCCCATGTACACTTGAGAACTGTTCTGTTGTTGAGTGTTCTGTAGATTTGTGTTAAGTCAAGGTGGTTCATAGTGTCACATGTCTTCTCTTTCCCCATTGACCTTCCACCCGGTTGTTCTCCGTACTGTTACTTTTCCTGATGGAGTGACCCTTTTGTAATGGGGTCTTCTCTGTGTCTAGTAACAGCTTTTGTCTTAAAGTCTCTTTTGTATGATATCCATATGCCTTGTGGCTGTTGTTTGTGTGGTACGTCTTCTTCCACCCGTGTAGTTTCATTGTGTCTGATTCTAACATGCTCCTTGAAGACAGCATGCAGCTGATTGTGGCTTTTAATCTGCTCTGCTGATCTCTGCCTCTAAGTGCGATATTTAGTCCATTTACCTTTAATGTACTTACTGATAAGGGAAGATTTATGTCTGTCATTTTTCAGTTTTTCTACATGTCTTTTTCCTCTTTTCCCCATTGCCATGTGTGTGTGTGTGTGTGTGTTAGACGGATGTTCGCTGAATTCCCCTGTGTCTTTCACTGAATTTTTGTTTTGGGGGGAATTCTTTAGTGGTTGTACTGCAGATTCCAGTGAACAAGTAAATACAGTCTAGTTTGGCTTCATACAGCTTAGTTTCAGGAGTGTACAAAAGCTCTGCTCTAATAGAGGTATGTTCCCTCCTAGTGCCTTTGTGTGATTTTTGTCATACAAATTACAACTTTATAGACTGTGAGCCCATCAACACAGTTTTGTGATT